CAGAGAGGCTCAGGAATAAGAAATAATAATCAGAGGTCTTTAAAAAAAAAACCCGAAACCCGCGTCCCGTCGTCCTTTCCCCCCCCAACCCCCGGCCCCAACCCGCGCCCTCTTCCTTCTCCTGTTATCCTTCGGGAGCAATTCCCTGGAAATGCGCGACCATCGCCTCCCTCCGCTGCGCATTCCAGCGGCGATTCCCAGCAGCAGATGCTCCTCTATCAAAAAAAAAAAACAACACCCCCAACCCCCTCATTTCCAGCTCCCAGGGTAAGGGCCCGGCGGTGGGTTTGCTCTCCTTGGGGCGCACAAGAGCTACTTTGGGGTCCACGCAACTCCTCCGGTTTCCCCACCACCACCCCCGGAGGTTTTGGGGGGGGGGATAAAGAATCCGGCTTCACGTCCGCTGATGCGGCACAAAGCCAACGTACCTGATCTCCTTGATGCTCTCGAGTTTGCACATAATTTCTTGCTCATCTGCCATGCTCAAACGCTCCGGGTTTAAACCTCCCGTCAAATGTACAAAATGCCCCCGGTAAAAAAAAAAAAAAAATAAAAAAAAAAAAAAAAAGAACACTGTACAATAGACACAATGTAGTCACCCCCCTGCCAGCAGCTGGGCTCTGAGCCTGTGCGGGAGGCTCTAGTGGGAGTTTGTGGGACTTCGAGTCCAGCTTCCCATTGCTGCCCGGGCAGATCCACGGCGGAAAGACTACATCTCCCACAAGGCAGAGCAGAGCTTTTCCTCCTGCCCTCCTTCCTGCAACTACATTTGAAATCAATTTGTCACACCTCATTATGTCAAAGGTTGTTAGGAGTGAAAAAAAAAACCAAAACAAAAAAACCACCCCAACCCAGAAGCAGGCAGCTTCCTCCTGAGACCTGTGCGGTGTTTAGCATTTTCTTATAATTATGGAATGTGTGCTAAGGGACTGCTGAATGAGTTCACGATTTTTATTTAAAACTTTTTTGGACACAAAGGCATCCTCTAGCCATTATTACTGCCGTGCTGGTTTCTGCTAGGTGCTCTGAGTGATGGGACAGTGTCTGGAGTTCAGAAGAGACATATTTTGTTCTTTAGGTTCTTCTTTTCTATTTCTGCTTCTATACATAGCACTTGTAACTATGGAAAAGAAAAACAAAATGCAAATAAAACTGTTGGATGGAGGAAAGTGACCGTTTGTCTTTCTACAGACTTTCTAGGCAAGGACATCAGAGCACTTTACAGAGATTGATAAACAGACTCAGCCTTTCCTCAGCCAGGTAATTGTTTTCCTTTGGCTTCTGTAAGGTACTAAGCACTGTGTTTTAAGTTATGAAGATAACAGTTATATCTCACCTCTTTGGAAGGGCTCTTCCAGGATCTGTCCTAAGGGATCCAGAGTGTAAATTCAGCATCCTTCACCTGTTTGCCCCAGCATTTACCCTGGGGTTTGCCAGGTCTTGAGGGTCACGCTGGGCTGGAAAAAAGCCATTTTGGAAGTGGAAGAGTCTCCATGTTGCTTTTAAGAACTTAAGACAAAGGTGTCTCCGTATTAATCCAAGTGCTGCTTTGAGGGAGGGGTTTGTGACCTGGTCAGGGCTGAGTTACCCGTACAAAAGTGGCATGTGGCCTGCCACTGCAGTGACCTGCTCTGGCTTCTTCTGTCACCTCTCAGCATGGCCAGGGGTTGGGGGACCCATGAGCATGGATTTAAGTGTCTGCATTAGATTCTTAAGTCAGAGAGTGCGCTCTTGAGAGGGCTGAAAAATGAAAGAAGGTGTCCTGGTAGAGGAGGCCCTCTCACCAGGAGTCACTGAGGATGGGAAAGTAGAAAGGATGGGGCCTGAGATTGGAGCAGCAGCTGGGAGGGAGACAGGTAAATAGAGCTGAAAATAAAGCTATCTTGGAGTTTTGTCTCCTACTTATCTGTAACTCCTACTAATCTGTAAATATTTCTACTCCTGTTCATTTATTTTAAAGAAATTGAGATGTGTTCTCATTCAGTTGCTGATGCATTTATATCAAATATTGTCCAGAACTTTCCCATTTATTGATGTCATGATGAGGAATCACCGAGTCATCTCTTGTGCACTCAGCAGAGCTAAATCTAAAACTACAATAAAAATATCACTTGCTACCTTTGGAAATGACAGGCATGATCTGAAACAAATACAGAAAACCTGAGAAACCGGGCACAAAAATAAAAGTGAAAAAGAAAACCACAAAACGTTCTGTATAACAGAAGATATTTAGGCCTGTAGAAGGGAATGTGATGGGTTAACATTCCCTCTACCTTCTCTTGAGTTCTTGTCAAGAAGAAAGAAAAGGCTTAAATTCCTGAATTCTGATACCAGGCCAGTTTTCAAAGAATTTTATACATGTATATATATATTTTTTTTTTTTTTTCTCTGCCCTGCACTGCTTGTCTAATGGTGATGTTTAAGCACACCTTTTGTAACTGAGGCAGCAAATATTTATGTTTTTTTTTTTTTTCCTACACAGATGACACTGAGTGATCAATGTAATATAATTGCCGATCAGACCCTGTCCCAAACTCCCCAGGGATGCAGTTTGGCTTTTTTTTTTTTTTTTTTTTTTTCTCCTGCTTTCACTGATCAGTGGAAACGAATGATCCAGGAAATCAGGTCACTCATAAAAACTCTTCAGCGCTCAAGGATGACATCAGAACCAGGGCACTGCAGCTTTCTGCTCATTTTTCCCTGATGTTAATAATAGCTTTAGTCATCTTTTTAAATGCTTTCAATTCCTAGTGAAGTAAATGAGAATTTGGAATGAATGCAGATTCCAATATCAGACCCTCCATTTATTTTAAAAATTGGATGTTTTAATACCAAAAATGCTTAGTTTTCATTAAGCACAGGTGAACAGGGTGGGGTTTTCCCCCCTCTTTGGTTTACCTGTGTTCTCCAACCTGCTCTTTACTATTCCCTTGTTCTCTGTGACAGCCTGTTTTCTTCTAAGTGCTTTTACTGCTGCTCCTATTTACCACTGTTGTCCCTTGTGCTGCTTTGGATCAGAGACCCCATTTTTGTATACACTTATAAAGTAATAGAAATTTTCATGAAGTGAAGAGGCCAGCATAAATCCCAGAAACTGATGCCATGTATTACTGCAATATTTTTTGGATCAGAGACCCCATTTTTGTATACACCTATAAAGTAATAGAAATTTTCATGAAGTGAAGAGCCCAGCATAAATCCCAGAAACTAATGCCATGTATTACTGCAATATTTGGTAACAGGACTCACATAGTCTAGGTAAATAGCTGTTTCTGAGCTAAAAATTGATCTTGGAAACTCTTCAGATGCCACAGTCCCCAGCATTTCACGTGGAAGATTTATGCAGTAGAATGGACTTGAGGTGGTGGGAGTTACCCTTACCCATTTTCTACACACAGTTTTGGTTGTTTTTTTTTTTTTTTCAGGGAATTTGTAAACTGAAGCTGTAGAGAGGCTTGGATGAGGGTGCTGGAGTTGGAAGAAATAAAAAGTGAGGAAACAGGCTTCAGAGCTGTGACTGTGATTCCTAATAGCTGGAGTAAGCAGCCCCAAACTGAGATTCCTAAATAACCATAATTCGAGAAAATAGCTGAATTGATTTTTGTATGTCCTGCCTTTCACTCTATTATCTTAACCATAACAATGATAAATCCCTCGATGGATTGCTTTTGACCAGCCACTGAGGCACCTGGGTTGATTCAGGATTCGAAGCAAGAGACATTCTCATAGGGATTAATGGCAGAGAGCTTGATTACTTTTTTACGCTTTATTAGTAAATTGGTATTTGCTTTTTGAGAAATGGTTTTCATGAGATTAGAGGTGTCTGCTCTGAGACCATACAAGTTGTCTGGTATCTCTGTATAGCAAAATCTTCCCTGTCATGAATTTCATCACGTTAGTGTCTACAGTCTTAAGCTATGGAGCAGGATCCCTTTGTAATTAGCACTGTAGAAATCCAAGGATAAAAGCTGGTGGTTCCTGTTCCAAATATTTTACCTGAATATAAGGCAAGAAATGGGAAGAGAGAATGAAGAAAAAAAAGATGAGAGTGCTGGACACCATAATAAGTAGGGGCTGAGGTTCACCTAATGCTTCAGCAAGTGGCGACAGCGATCTAACATTCCCCACTCAGAAAAAATCTTTAGTGTTGATAATCTATTTATTGCTAATTATAATTAATAATCAATAGTTAGAGTTAAAAACTCAGATGATTTGCAGAAAGCACCAACCTTTTCTTTCTATCAATTCCACTAGACAATAAATTAAGAAATAAATGGAAGGTTTCAAGCATTATAAAAAAATATTTCCTAATCTCTTATGAATCTTCCAAGTAATGATTTTGAGGATTTCTCTGTATTGTACAAATCCAGTTTTGACAAATGCACTGTTGCTGGCATTGCCAAAGACTTCTTTCTGGGACAACTAATGAATAAGCAGCAGTTGTGAATGGGGAGATGTTTTAGTTATTTTCCACATTATTTAAGGACTTTTCTCTATGATGTTCCGTTCTTCAATTAAAGAAAAAAGAAGATAAAGGAAAACAGGGATAGGCATCAGCATCCTCTTCATAATCTCACAGCTTTTGTAAAGAAATTAGAGCATGCAAGGTCTGATCCTCATATAATTAGAGTCGATTGCAAACTCCTCATGCTGCCTTAAAAATTGAAGACTGTAGGATTGAGCCCTAAGTGAGCTGCGTGCTCAAAGGGGGCAGGCTGCTTTGATGCATGATTTAATAGATGAACTAATTGATTTGAGGGGGTAGGAGACAAGTTAGCTACAGTGGGCCAGTGAATCTTGTTGCTAAGACACTGGGGAGTGAGAGCAGGCGGGGAGAGGATACGAGAGGAAGAGAAGGAAAGTCCCTTCTAACAGGAGTGACAAGAATCCCAGCCAACATTCTCAATGTTTATCCCATTTTCCATTTCTGATTTTATAGATTAAACAAAAAAGTTGAGGGCAGAAAATGAAAATGCAGATATTCACCTTGTTACCTGGCTCTGAATGACATAAAGAAAACCACAAAGTGTTATATTTAGAAGTTCTTAGATGGGAAGTGAGCCAATGACATAAAGAAAACCACAAAGTGTTATAATATATTTGGAAGTTCTTAGATGGGAAGTGAGCTTACCCACAAGCATTAGCAGTTATTTTTCTCTCCATGCTTACTAAAGGGACAGAAAATACTACAGCTACATATTTCCAAGTGGTCACAAAGTTTGATACTTATGGTGTGTTATATAGATCTAGGAATACTTTCAATGATGTAATACACATGTAGGGATACTTTTAATGTTATAGAAACAATAGCTGAGGAACAATTCCTATCACCTTTCTTCCTTTCCTTTGGAATAGAATTTTCCAGTCCACTCCTGCGTTACTGTTATGGTTTGAGAAAGCCCACACCAATTAGTTGTCATTTAGACAATTATTCTATCACCTGATGACCTCTCCCCACCCAGAAGGGGGGATTGGAGAACACAAAGAAACAGGAGGGTTGAAATATAACTAGATTTAATAGAATAAGACTAAATAATTAACAAT